GCTGGACTCGTTTGAGTCCCATTTCTCTTTTTGGGGTTTTTGTTGTTCTCCCGCCCTGGCGGGGGGTCGGGCTAGAAGATCTACTAGGTCCCTTCCGACCCTTAATCTATGAATCTATGAATCTATGAATCTGTCAGCGACTGCCTGCTAATTGCAGGCTGAAGTTGTGGTGGCTATTTGCTCCAGAGCCGTGTGTTTTCATAAAGGAAATCTGCTGTTGCCCCATGCCCCTGCAAAAGAGAGCTGTGTCTGGGGAGCAGAGCACGGGATGGCAAAGCAGGATATCTTTGACCCCGACTTTGCCACGTCTTTCTGGGGCTGCATGAAGGCAGCAGGACTTTATGCCTTCCCACGGCAAGGCCAGAGAGGAGAGAGGTCTGCATGTATATGGCAACCGTGAGGTTGTTGGGTGGATGCATGCGTGCATGCAAAGCCGGAGAGGACAGAGGTCTGCACGTATAATGCAAGTGAGGTTCCTGGATGCATGCATGCAATTGCAAACATACCGCAGCTCATGAGCCAGCACCGCCGAACTCAACTGGCCTCTTCTCCCAGCATGAGCTTTTGTATCATTTTGCACGGGCCAGAAAAATAGCATTCATTTCCCGTGCTTACCAATCGCTATGGCAACAGGTGGGAACGGGGATGGAGGGCTGTCGCTGCACACCGCGCTGACCCCTTTGCACAGAGCAGCAAATCTCAGCCAGCAGGTCCTTTTGAGGGGGCTTCTCAGTACGAGGGGAGCAAGCCCCTACTCGAGATCACAAGCTAAACCCAAATAGGAATCGAAGGCACCAACACCGCTCCGGCTTGCCGTGGGCTTCCTGAGCTCTCAGCAACACAATAATTGCTCTATCCTATTCTGTAGTCCAAATACACATGAGAGCTCAAAGCTGGTGTTTTCCAAGGGGGGGCTTCGAGTCCAAAAATGCTGAGGACCCCTGGCACGGACTTGAGAGGTGCAAGGGGTCTGGGTTTCCCAGGCGTCAGCGTAACGGCAAAGGCAGCGATGCACAGGGGCTCTCCCCATGCCACCAAGCACAGGTCCGAGGACGGCGATGTGCTCACAAGCAAGCGGTGACCCCCCTCTCCCAGCCCTCTCCGGTCAATAAATCTTGACAACTGCTCCAAGAGTGCAAGAAGGGAGCCAAGATCATCGATCTCCCCTCGGACAGCAGGAGCACGGTCGGAGGGCGAGATCTCACTGTTAAATCATAAGGTAGACGTCCCCTCCTGCCCCCATGCCACAGGCTGGGTCTGCTGTGAAGGGGTGCCGCCAAAATGCCAGCACCCCGGGGCTGGCGTGCAATTAGATCTGTTGCAATGGGAGCTTTTTGCCTGGTAGGATGAAGGAGGAGATGAATTGCTCCTGCCAGGATGTCCCCTCTCCCTTCTCCACGCGGCCTCATTAGGGATTCAGCAGCCTTCTCCCTGCGCAGACCCAACCGGCCGTCCCCCATGTCAGTCCCAGCAGGTGACAAGGGCACTTTGTTCTCACCTGGCCCCTCAATCGCTCTCCGCTGCCCCACGAAGGTCGCAGCATTTCATTCCCAACACAGACTACATGGCTTGGCTCCAGGCACCAAGAAAAACCCACCCCTTCTCCTTTGCTGGGAAACGGGGGGACCCTGGCGCTCCACCTGCCCAGATGCCAGCGTCCAGCCTCGCACTATAGGAAGTCCCATTTCCTCTCCCCCAAAATACCCCTCCGGGGGTCAGAGCTGCAGCACCACGTTGCTAA